GGCCTTCAGCCATACTGCTGCTGAAGGCACTAAGGCCTGAGGCCTGCCTGAGGGACAGGGCAGGCACCTGGCTCGCTGCTGGTGGCCCGTAGACCAGGTTGGATGAAGGTGTGACCACACGTAGAGCATGGACCTGGCTCACACAGCTGGGCTGGATCCCTCACGGGTCCCATTCCCACACAGCTTCGTGGGGACTTGCTCACTACAAGTCCCTGTCCTCGCTAGGGCTGTGGTACAGCCCCTCAAATCCACAATACATTAATTTGCAAATCACAGTTATTTTTGGGGTGGTGAAGAGGCAAAGATAACTTTGCATCAAGTCATTCTGGGCTTCTCCTGCACTCGGGGGTTAATTAATCTCCATCAAATCCCATCTCCAGAGCCATCTTCCCTCCTGTGCTGTGGCTGGGGCAGGCGGACATCTGACAGAGGAGGCACGTGGTGATGGAGGTGTCACCGTCCTTCTTGTTGGAACCCCTACAAAAACAGGCAAACTCTCAACATCAGCAACCCACCTGTGTTTTTGCTCCCCACCTTCCTCCTCCCTTTTCCTGGGGCTCTTCCAAGCTCCCCTCTAACACGCTGCCCATTGACAGGTGTTAGGGGAAACAAAACCCTTCTGGAACAGCCAGAAACGCGTCCGTTTTTCGGTGCAGCTTGACTTTTTCCAGCGTTCCCTCATCTTTCCCGTGCACCCTGGCCTTTTTCCTCTTGATGCACCTCTGCTCGGTGAACCGCTGAAGGAGGAATGACCACGGGGGCGAGGACAGGCGGAGGCGATGCGCCGCGAACTTTTGCACATCCATTGTCGCCCGGGGGAGATCCACTTCCTCTGATTTTTATGGATTTTTGGAATATTTTTCCTACAAGTTCAGGAAGGTCTCCAACGAGCCCAGCCTGGCGGGGCTTCACAGGGCCATGCCGTCGGCCAGCCAGTGCTGGGAACGCCGGCTGGGAAGTTTATTGCTTCCTGTTATGTGCCGCGGTGGGTTGGTGGGGGAGACGTGGGCTCAGCGCCGGCACCAGGTACTGCCCCAGCACACGGGGTGGGGTTGGAAATGGCCCCTTTTCCTCTTTGCTTCTCCGTCTGCTTCAGGAAAGGGAAGCAAATAAAGGGAATAATTGCTCGCTTTGGCCTTTGCGGGGACCTCTGGCTGTTGAGGCAGATCTCCGCCTTTGGTCTGCTTGCTTTGGAGCAAGAACAGACGCAGAGAAATATCCTATAAAGGATATTCACCGAGCAGTGTCCCCGCAGGTCCCCATCACGGTACCTTTCTTGCCATCTCTTGGTACATCGGCCTTGAAAACTTAACCAAAATGTTCCTGACAGACCAAAAAAAAAAGTGGTTTTGTCAACATCAAAATTTATCTCAGGAATGTGTCCATCGCAGCGAAAATTTCAGCTGGGAAGGGCTGGAATAAATCGCTTCTGCGCTTCAGCCCAGGCTTAAGTGCTTCCTCTGGGCTTTTGTGCTTTGTGATTTAAATCTTATTGTTATTTTCCTTTATTGGATTTTTCTCCTCCTTTTCAAAGTGAAGTGCTTTTACCTTTCCACAGTTATGAGTCAGTGAAAATCCCAGGGAAACATTTCACCGCTTTGCAGCAGAAACGTTCTTCATCCTGCTCACATCTGGCTTTTTCCTCCAATTACCAACCAAACCAAATTTAACAGGAATTCTGTTTTCTGACCTATCTCCTGGGCCGAATGAGGCCAAAGCGTGGTTCAAACTCTGTGGCGATTGAGAGCTAGAGTGTATATTTTCCGAGTGTATTAAATAAAGCAGCTTCCACCTTGTTTTCAAGGTTACCCTTACATTACACAGCCAACATTGCCAAGGGGTGTTTTCTTTTTCTCAGTTTGGTCCTTGCAAGAGGCAGAGACCCACCGCAGTGTCCTGATCCAGATCGAAACCTTCTCAGGTTGATCCAACAAGAAGAGCTGGGAGCAAAATCACCAAAAACCGAGCCCAATGATGAAGGGGTAGAGGCCTCCGCTCTCTGGGGTTAAATTCTCTTCTTTACACCTCACCATAGTTCTGAAAAGTCCACGCAGAGATTTCTGATGGAGCAAATTTTAGCAACAGATACTCCATAATGTTTTATCCCGCCTGTAAATTTATCTGGTAAGACTGTTTTGAGGTTTTGGCTGAGTCCTTAAGACGTGAGGCAGTCTTCTGCCTCCTCATCCTTGTCCTCTTCATCCTCCTCCTCCTCCTCTTTATCCTCCTCCCCCACCAGTGCCCCGCTCCAGGACAAGCAGAAGACGAGGAGGAGGCTAATGGCAGGAAGAAGGGAATCGGAGACAGGAGGAAGCACTGACGAGGGAGGTTGCCCTTCCCTGAAGCATGTTTACATCTGACAAAAATCTCCGTTGAAAGCTGTTTCTGGAACCACGGTGCTGCTCTGCTCAAGGCACTGGAGCTGCAAATAGCAGCCCAGACAAACCAGAAGCACTAACGAAATCAAAACCTGCCTCCTTTTTTTTTTTTTCTTTTTTCCCTGTTTAGCTGCAATGTTTTAAAGCGTCACCTCTGCTTGCAAAGACAAGACCTCAGCCTGTCAGTGTCATTCACTGGTAACTCTGCAATTATCCTCTTTTTTCTCTCTAAGTTTTGCGATATTTGTCTCAACACAGTGACGTTGCTTCCCAGGTCTTCTTTTAAAGAGCAGGCTTGTTATTTGAACAAAGACGCTTTTCTTCATTTTGCGTAGTCACGAAACAGATCAAATGAAAAACCCAAAGGTGCAAATTAGGGAAGAAAAGGAACCCCGTGCAATGCAGCACGGAGCTTTGGAGACTCGGAGCCAGGCTGGCTACCTATGTCTGCTGCTCACCACTGCAGGCAGGGAGATGTAGCACCAGATATTACTGTAATTAGTGGCAGCAGTTACTCATTTTAATGGGACGTCCAAGAGAAACACATCCAGACCAATGCCTGGCTGGAGAGGTGGCTCCCAGCAGCCAAAAGCGCTCAAGCCTGCATTACTTCCACTCCCCTCCATCCTCACCGTTGTTTCTTGTTTGGTGCCAAGCACCAAGTGGAGCCAGGACACGGGACGCTGCAGAGCGAGTCAGGAGGTGCCTGTTGCTGCTTTAGCCTCTAACATTTATTTATGGCTAGAGAAGCTCTGTTTGGTCTCCAGTGGCTGCCTTGGAAGGAAGAAAACACAAGCTGTTTATGAGGGCGCATATCCCTGCCGTTCTCTGCTATTACCCTGGCTACACGCAGCGAAGGTTTTGGCATGCATGCAACCTGCTCGGACGGTGAAAACCCAACTAAAGCACGCAGGAGAAAATGCTCAGCCTCCAGCTCTCTGCCTCCTTCCCCAGGTGATGCTTTGGCTCGGGGAGATGGGAACCACACGATCCCTACCAGTGCCACTGCTGGAGCTACTGGAGCAGCCGGCGCCCTGCTCACCCAAAGCGCAGCCGCCCCAAAAAGACGTCCACCAGGAGAGATTGCTGTGTGTATAAATAACCCGCACGGTTTGAAAGCAGAGGGTCTGGAGAGGCTGCTGTGGGACCCACGGGACCGGGACGGTGCCGAGCTGCCTTTTATCTCCCAGCCTCTGCCTGCGCTCCTGCAGAGCCTGGAAGTTGTTCTCAGCTGGTTATTTTTAACGAACTAATAATACTTCTCCGCGGCTCCATCCTGCACCCGCTGGGGCTGGTGGAAGTCTTGCCACGCTCCGCGGTGGGAATGAGGTTTTGGTGGCCATCCCTCAGGTCTGCTGGGTCTCACGGTCCTTCCGAGGTCGCTGGTGTGAAATGCGCTGGAAGCCGGATGGGAGAAAGCTCCCAGGGACCACGCGGTGGCCCCTGTGGAGGTGCCCACCAGGTGTCCCACCACATTGTCCCCAGCCGTGAAGGACCCTGCCCCTCCAGCCTGTGGGAGGCCAGACCCAGCCCTGAGATGTTCTCAGGGGTACCATGAGAATTTTCTCCTTCTCCATGGGGTCCTGGTGGTCCAGGGAGGTCGGGGCATTGCTGGAGGAGATCTCCAGCCCCGGTGGAACCAGGTCTATATCACCCCAAGTCCTTTGAGAGTGCAAGCTTTGCAGGCATGCTAAGCACTTAAGTTGAAGCATGCAGCCAAGGTCTTGACCATTTAACCTCTTTAGGGTTTCACTCCCCCCCAAATCCCTCCCTGGACCTGTTTTCCCCTAGCGTGGCAGCCACCCCTCAAGGGTGCGTTCACCCCTACATCAAACTTTCTGGAATATAAGGATTTTCCCACCTGTCTATCAGAGATGGCTACTTCTAAACAACGAATTAAGCGACTGATTAATTAAACGAAATGCTTTTTTGGAAAACCGGGGCAAATATCCTGCTTTGTCAGGACCTTCCTGGGCTAAAAGTTCCCAAGGAGCCACATGTTCTCTAATGTGATTCCCCTCGATCACAGTGTGCCTCCTCCCTCGCTGTCCCCCCTCAAAGGCTGAGTCAGATCCTTTTTTGTGACTTGCTGGCTGCTGCTTCCTTCTCCTCCTGGGGAGAATTTCTGCGTCTGCTTTCACCCAGCACCTACCCCAGCGCTGATCCCACCGCTGCCAATGGCTCCCCATGGGCAGAGCAGGGACGAGAGGTGCCCCCGGACCACCAGGAGGGAGGGTTTCTTCTCCACTTCCCTTAGGCTTTATGCACATTCCCACACTTATTTCTTTTCCCTTCTGCAATGAAGCCAGAATGTGTATCCCAAAGCCCTTCCCCATCCTTTTTCTACCCTCTGCCCCCATCCGAGCTGCCCCATGGCGCTCCGAGAGAGCACCACATCTTTCAGAGAAAGCCTCGCCTCGAGGAACACCAACGCAGGACCTTCACGTTGCCTTTCCTTGCTGCTGAGCCTCGCCTCTTTCTTACTTTTTTTTTACTTTTTTTTTTTTTTTCCACCAGCTCTCTGCCCGAGAAACCTTGGCCAAAACGCGTTTTCCATATGTTCCCTATTAGTCATGCTCTCTGTCTTACAAATCTGTTACCAGCGCCGCTAGCTGATGCTATTAATTTACTTCCAGCCGGCTCCAGAGCTCGGCAGCAAAATTCCAGGCAGCGTTCCTAAAACCAGACCCGGCGGCTTGTTTGGATTTAAAACCTCCTTCCCCTCCCCTCCGGGATACAACTTCCACCTTCTCCCAAGGCTTGGGGAGAACCCGGCGAGGTGTGGAAGCAGGAGGTCTGGGTGGGAGCGGGGCTGCCCCAGAGGCGGGGTCTTCAGTGCCTTAAATTCGTCCCCAGAGCTCCGGTTTCCAGCAGCAGGGGCATGGCTTGACCGCAGCGGTGGCGGCGGCAGGAGTTTATCTAGGGCAAGGCACAGGAATGCCGACGGAGGAGGGCAAGCCGCCGCAAGAAGCACCATGTCTCCGTGAGTACGTTTCCCATTGTCTTCCCGGCAGTTTAAACAACTGGGTGGGAAGCGAGCGGAAAGGAAGGACATCCAGCGAGCACGGAAAAAGAAGAAAATTCTTTTTTTCCCTTCTATTATTCTTGTTTTGTTCTGCTATTATTCTTTTCTTTCTTTTTCTTTTTTTTTTTTTTTTTTTCTCCCTGTTCTGCTTAGTTTAGCCTCGGCTTTTCAAGTTTCCCCAGTCGCAACAGTCGTGCCTGCGACTGCACGGAGGGGTCAGTGGATTTGGGGACGTAACCACGGTGGGAACGTGGAGCCAGCAGCTCGTTCCTGGCTAAAATTGTTCGCTATCCTAAAACGCTGCTGCCAGGAGGAGAGGTCCAGCCGCTCACTGTGCAGAGTGTGCCCTGCGTGCACCTCGTGCACTGGCAGCAGGGCTGGAGAAATGTGCAGGCTGGTGGCTGTGAATGAATGGATTTCCAAGCCGGAGGGACGGGAGGTCCTCTCAGGGGATGTCTGTGGCAGATAATTGAGCTACAAAAGCCACCAAATCCCCTCCGTCTACCTGCTGCAGACCTGGGCAGCCGTTCCCCAGGGGCTCGGCTGCCTGCCCTCTCCGCTCAGCGGAGGGATGAGGGCTGCAGCACATGGAAAATGCAAAAATCCTGGTTGTTGTGCTTCAATAGCCAACAGCGTGCAGAGATGAGATACAATTCTTGCCTGTTATCCTCCCCATCAGCAAAAGTGAACGAATCCTTCCTCAGAAGCTTGTTTGTGTTAGAATTGGTTTAAAAATGTTGGTATAATGCTCTCCCCCTGCAATTAAAGGCATTGAAATCCCACAGTGCTGCCTTCCCCACCGACACGTCGCAGGCCAAGCAAGGGAAACTGAGCTGGCCCTATGAGGGTTTCTGCCCTCGTTTCCCCTGGTCCAGGGGCTGCAGGAGCTGATTCCTGCAGATGTTTCTGAGGGTTCGGGACAGCACCGACAGCTCTGCCCCATAGCTGGCATCCTCTGAGCGCCTCCTCAAAGCCCCAGCCCTATTTCTGCTGGTTTGTGGCCTCTCTCCCTGATGCAGGGGGGTTGTGAATGTTTTGATGCCAACATTGTGGGGTGCTCCTTTCTGAAACCTGCCTCCCAGAGGAGTCAGTGGGTGCTTTGCTAACAATCCTGGCTAACAGGATTATTATAATTAGGATCCGAAGTTGAGTATTTGCTCCAAAATCCGCTGTTACCTGGGGCAGGCCCTCGCTGCTCCAGCCAAACTGCTGCTGGGAGGGGACTCCAGTCTGTGTGGATCATGTCACAGAACCACGGGATGGTTTGGGTTGGAAGGGACCTTAAAAATCATCTAATTCAACTTGTGCCATGGCCCAGGGCCCCCTGTCCCCCAGCCCAGGCTGCCCCCAGCTCCATCCAGCCTGGCCTTGGGCACTGCCAGGGACGAGGCAGCTACAGCTCCTCTGGGCAGCCTGGTCCAGGCCTCACCGCCCTCTGAGTGAAGAATTTCTTCCTAATATCTAATCTAAATCTCCCCTCTTATAGTTTAAAGCCATTCCCCTTGTCCTATCCCTACCCAGAGTCCCTCCCCAGCTGTCCCACAGCCCCTTCAGGCCCTGGCAGGCCGCTGGGAGGTCCCCCCAGTCCCTGAGCGACCCTTGCAAAATGCTGGATTGTCCCCAGGGCCCACCTCAGGTGAGCACCAAGCTGACAAATGAATTGTTCTATGGGACATTTGATGTCCATTTTTTTTAGAACAAGCCCAATTTGGGGCTCACAGCTAATTGGGGAAGCAGACGGTGGCTGAGCACCCACATGGGAACCATGGGGCCAGGTCCTGATCTGCTCCATGCAGCCCCCAGCCCAGCCTTGGATGGACACGGATGCTCCAGAGGTGGAGGCACCGTGTCCCACAGCAAGAAATCAGCACCCTGGTGCCTTCCCCTCCTACCCCCTGTCAGCTGGAGCTTGGCTGAGCACTGGGATTAATCCTACAAATTGCCTGAGGCTCCATCTTGCCCTAAAGGAGCAGGGACAAAGGGTTGGAGATGCTTTTAAGTGTGCCTAAAAGAAAGAAAAGGTGCTCCAAGGGGACGCTTTCCTATCTCACCCCAAAATAAACAACGTGATGCTAAACCCAAATTCTTCAATAAAGCAAGGAGAGCTCTGTGGGGTCACTTTCCACATTATTCTGCAGCTGTTGTATCCGTGGCAGCATTTCTGTACTGACCATTGGGTCCGAGGCACCGATTTGGGGCAGGAGATGAGGATTTCTGCTCCCAGTAGCGTTGAGAGCTGTTGTGCTTCTCCAGGTAAGCTGAGGGCAGAGAGGAGACCTTCCCCAGCCCTGCTGGCTGGGCTGAGCTCTCTCCCTGCTCCCTGCCCCGGTTCCTCCAGCTGCAGGACAGGAATTACAGCCCCCAGCACCATCTGCGGCGCTCCCGCGGTCCCAGCCTGGCGTGTGAAGACCTGGGGCTTTGGGTTCGCAGAGGTTTTGTTTGATCTAGAAATAGCAGGGTTAGAAAATTCCATCTGCCGGCTCTTGAGAGCCCTGGAAGAATTGAGCTGGAGCTCGATGCCTCCGGCCGCGCGAAGGCGAGCGCTGTGCAAACCAGAGCTGCTTGGCTCCCGTCCTAAGAAGCAGTGTGAGCAAAATAACATTCCAGGAAGGCAAAAACGTGGAGAACAGAGCGAGTCACGTTCGTGTCCTGCTCCTGTGCCGGCTGCTGCTCGCGGCTGCTCCCACCCCGTGCCCGAGCGGGTGCTGGGGTCCAAGCCTCCCCTGAAAACCTCAGGGGGGGATTTTGTGTCTCCCTCCTGGACATTCACCCCCATAAATGAGGGCTGTGGAGCAGCAGGGAGGTTTGGGAAGGTTTGGTTCTCCACCTGCGGAGCCATCACACACCCCACACCAACCCACCTTGTGCCCACGTTCACGTGCTCAGCTTCGTCATCCACCACCAACCATCCCCTCTTTGCTCCCATTTTGCAGCTGGGACTGGGCTCACTGGTGCCCAGTTCACCACCTGCCATCAGGGGCACAGCTCCGAGGCTGGGGGTGATCCGGAGCAGGGACGCAGGGGTGCAGAAAGTCCTGCAATTACCGCCTGCCTTTAAGGATGCCTGGGGCATCCCAATTTGCTTGGGCTGAGCCCCCACTCCCACAAACGAAGCTAAACACAAAGCAGTTCTTCTTCCTGCCCAGCTGTCCAGGTCTTCTGAAACGTGCGTGGTTTTCCCTACAAGCTTTTGAAGGTTTATTTTTAAAGCAGTCTGCATTTGATTTAGGCATGTTTTGCTTTGTTTTTCAAACGGAACTTGAAAGGGACATCAGCCTGTAAATATAAATATTCCCATTCTTTCGCTGATGCTTTGCATTTTTCTGGGTTTGCTAATGAAAGACATTTCAGCATCCCCTGCTCCCGCAGTCGTCTCAGGCGCTCGAGCCCATGGCATGTAAGCAAGAGACTATCCCAAGTTACGGATGTTTTGGGTACCTAGGTGGCCTCCGTGGTGCACTGCATTCATTTTTAGTCGCCCAAGCCCTTCCTACAGCTGAGCAACGTCTTGAAACAGGCAACAAAATGTGTAGCTGGGATGCTGGGATGTTTACTTACAGCTCTGTTGTCTTCCCCCCTTCTCCCTGCAGGTTATAACTGAGTAGCCCTTATGACCAACATGAGCTGGAGCTTCCTCACCCGCCTGCTAGAAGAGATTCACAATCACTCCACCTTCGTGGGGAAGGTCTGGCTCACCGTGCTCATCGTCTTCCGCATCGTCTTGACGGCGGTCGGCGGGGAGTCCATCTACTCGGATGAGCAGAGCAAGTTCACCTGTAACACCAAGCAGCCTGGCTGCGACAACGTCTGCTACGATGCCTTCGCACCGCTGTCGCACGTCAGGTTCTGGGTCTTCCAGATCATCATGATCTCCACCCCTTCGGTCATGTACCTGGGCTACGCCATCCACAGGATCGCCCGGTCGGCGGAGGAGGAGAAGAAGTTCAAGGGGTTCAAGAAGAAGAAGCAGTTTGCTCTGAACTGGCAGGCGGTGCGCAACATGGAGGACCCGATGGAGGCAGACGAGGAGGAGCCCATGATCTCCGACGACACGGCAGACAACGAGAAAGCCAAAGCCAAGCCCAAGAGCAAAGAGCCACAAAAGCACGACGGGCGGAGGCGCATCCAGCAAGAAGGACTGATGAAAATCTACGTCTTCCAGCTACTTACCAGGGCTTCGTTTGAAGTTTGCTTTTTGATAGGGCAGTATTTGCTCTACGGTTTCGAGGTGGAAGCTTATTTTGTCTGCAACAGACTCCCCTGCCCTCACACCGTGGACTGCTTCGTGTCCCGGCCGACAGAGAAGACGATCTTTCTGCTGGTGATGTACGTCGTGAGCTGCCTGTGCTTACTCCTCAACATGTGTGAGATGTTTCACCTGGGCTTCGGGACCATCCGGGACGCCATTCGCAACCGGAAAATCAACAGCTTCAGGCAGCCCCCCTACAACTACGCCTACCCGAAGAACATCTCCTGCCCTCCCGAGTACAACCTGGTGGTGAAATCTGAGAAGTCCACCAAGATCCCCAACAGCCTGATGGCTCACGAGCAGAACCTGGCGAACGTCGCCCAGGAGCAGCAGTGCACCAGTCCCGACGAGAACATCCCCGCAGACCTGTCCACCCTCCACAAACACTTGCGAGTGGCCCAGGAGCAGCTGGACATAGCGTTTCAGAGCTACAGCAGCACCCAGGCCAACACGCAGCCCTCTCGAACCAGCAGCCCTGCCTCAGGGGGCACGGTGGTGGAGCAGAACAGGGCCAACACCGCCCAGGAGAAACAAAGCGCGAAACCTAAGGCCTCCTTGGAGAAAGGGAGCTCCAGCAGTAAAGATGGAAAGACGTCTGTATGGATATAGCTTGAGAGGGCAGCGTACGTGCGGTTTTATTTTGCTTTGTTTCTGGTTTTCGGTATTGTCTTGAGTTCATTTCGCAGGGCACAGACGCAACTTTGATACAGAAGTCAAGAGAGAAAATTCAGACCAGTTTAGTGCTGTCTTCCGGTGCATTAACAAAAGACGTTTCCTTCCTCTTCCCAACGCGTTCTCCAGCTGGGAAACTCCAGCGAGCAACAGCGAACGCCGCATCCCGCCGGGACCGGCTGCGAGCAGGCAGCGCAAGGACGCAGCGCTGTAGGTCAGATAGCGTTTAATTACTAAATACCCTTAATCAAAATTAACTTCTGATCCCTCCATGGGAAGGGAAAACGACCAGGTCCGTGGCAGTGAACTTCGACGACATGCTGCCCTGCCTGAACCTGCAGACCTCAGGCATCGCCGAGGGTGGCAGAGACGCGTGCTGCGAGCAGTGGCCCAACACCCACACCGCAAACACAGCACGGGAGGTTTTCATCTTTTGGTTCCCTGGGCTGAAACACCAAGCAACTACGACTGACCACCCTCGCAGAGGCGGTGGGAAGCTCTGGGGTTAGGGTGTTTGCAGCAACCGCTGCTCCACATCATCAGAAAGTGCCTTTATGCAACCAGGAAAACAAAATCGCAAAGGGTTTCGACTACGTGGTTTGCTAATTCGAGCAGAGATGGGAAGATCGGCGTCGGCAGATTTGTTTTTCTGTTTAATCAAACCCTTCTATCTAGTGGCAGAGAGCAAATCTATGCATCGCGTGTACATGGGGTGTGCGTGCACACACGTATGTACATGGACCCATGAACATGTCTGTGTGACTATAGATGTAGAGAGAGATATATAAATGTAATATCAACCCTCTGGTGATTTTACAGCCTTCCAGCCTCTCTGGGCCACGGGCAGGTTTCCACACACTTGTCTGGGGGCTCAGCAGCAGCTCCTGCTTCCCTGGGGGCCAGCAGCAAGAAGTTTTCCCCTGGTTTATGGACAGCTTCTTTTGGCTTCACTTGGTTTTAGGGTGAGTTTGGGGAGCTAAGCTCCAAGGCTCCTGCTAGTGCTGGATGTGCTTTGCCAGGATGGTTTCATGCCAGGAGCTGAGACATCCCTCAGATGCTTGAGGCTTGGCAGATGCTCTTGCAATACTCAAACAGTTGATTCACCACCATGGCCAAGGTCATGCTTCAGGTGAAGGAAGCAAATCCTTTCTGAGCATAGCACCATCCCTGTGCTGAGCTGCTCCCTCACGGCTGTACCAGCACATGAGTCCCCATGAATTTCTCATCCACTGGATGGGTGTAACTTCTTGGTGGGCATCTTTCTCCTGTCCCTCAGATCAGTCTCTGAAAGCCTCACGGGTGCCAGTTGTCATGGGACAGCCCTTGGGGACCTGAGGGTGGCCATCAGCACCGGGTCACGGCACCAGAGCTGTGCAATGCCTTTGGGGAACAGTGCTGGTAGCAAAAAAGAGATCAAAAAGATGCAAAGAAACATCCTATGAGGTATCCAGCTACAAATATTCAGCTTGCTTTTGGGGAAGAGTCTGGGGAGCAGCTTCAGGCTTTTTCCTGGTCCCACTGAGGGCACTGGAGAAATGCCTGGAGCGCTGCCTGCTCTCGCTGCTGGAGATATTCCCTTTGAAAAAGCCCACATGAATCCAGGAGGAGGATCAGCACCTCCTCACAGCAGCAAGGGGCAGCAGCAGCACACCCCGGTCGCGTGGAGGGATGCTTTGTGCCATGAATTCTCCATGAAGGGCTCATAGAGTTCACACCGTGGTGGTAGGACACACATATCACACGGCTGGAGGGACCGGGTGCTGGTGGGTGAGCTCCTGAAGGTGCAGGGAGGGCACAAGAGGAGCTCCGGGTGGACATTTACTCCCTGGCACTTACAGCAGACACCAACCTGTCCCGCACACTGATGGGAAATCCTCACCAAGGGAATCCCCCGCGTGGCCTGAGCACGTCCTGGTGACCCTGGTGGTCACTGCCAGCGATGGGGTGAGGTCCTGGGGCTCTCTCAGAAGCCCACAATGGATCCATTTCCACACCTGCAGGTTCAGAGATGCTCAGAGAAATGGGGCTGGAAAGGAACACGGATCTTCTCACCAACTTGCCAACATCAAACACATCCCCAAAGGCTAGCACCCACCCCCTGCTGCCACCCCTGGCTTCTCCTCTGCTCGGCAGACACAAAGAGCTGCTTCTTCCCTTTGTGTCTGCAGAAGGTTTGGGGTGCCTGAAGATGGTTTCTCTCTCTCTTTTATTATTATTATTTTTTTTTATTTTTATTTTTTATTTTTACACCATGGATCCAGCATGATGAGAGGGGTTTTGGGATGCTCTTGGTCCTGCAGCAGATCCACAGCCTCCTCCTCACCCCGTGCAACACGCACACGCTATTTTCCATAGTGGGAGCCGATAATTGCAATATTGACGAGTGCTGGAGCCGGGGCAGACACTCGGGGGATCGATACCAGCTCCTCATCGGGCAGGGCAACCGCTTGCTCGGCCGCCCTCACAGCCAGCCCTGCTCATCTCCAGGGCTTGAAACCTTCTCTTGCATCAAAGGCTTTGCATATGGGGGCCGATCTCGCATCCCTATTTCTTTTTTCCAAGCGTTTTGACAGGGACCAGAGCACACAGTCCGTGGCAGGACTGCTCGGTGCCGGAGAGGGACATAGGGTATCCTGCCAGGCCCCATTAACTCCTCTCACTCTGAGTCAGACACGCATAGAGGGTTATAATTGTAATAATATTATTATTGTATTGCTCACTTCCTCCTTTCCTCCTCCGCTGCTTGGCCCCTGAAGCCCTCAGGACGTTGTGTCTTCCACTGAGCCACCACCAGCAACGCGACCGGCATGCACTGAGCGGCTCCTTCCAGGGCAGGAGGAGTAAGCCCACCTCCATCTGGGGAGCAGAAGGCAAGGAAGGCAAAAAAAAAAAAAAAAACAGAGCCACAAGCCTAAAAAAAAAAAACCCTCACAAGCCCCACCGGCAGCCAGAGGAATTTCAAGTAGACGACTGGCAGCGTCGGCCGCGGAGGAGACGCCAGGAGAATAATTAACGCTTCGCTTTTCTTCCTGCAGGTCATTTTGTTCACGCTCCGGACGGGTTTAGCTCTGTAGCTGAACTAATCATAAATGTTGACACTCTCGCTAAGCTTTGCCGGGTAAAGCACCCGCCCTCGCGTTTCTGTTCTTCCTATTCAGGGCCAGGAATGTCCCGCGTAAAAGCCAGATTACCTTGTTGCTTGCATCGCATTCCTCTGGGAAATACTTGAACTTAACTCGAGGCCATAACCAGTCTGTGCTGTTATGAAGTTTCTGGGATTTTTTTTTCGTTGTTGGTTTGTCAATTTTATTTTTTTTTTATGTACTAACTGTATTTGTACTAGAAAACCTTTGAGTATGAGGTTGAATCTCTAAGTATTTTTTCAGTGTAAATGTTCCATCTGGGCTGTGGTTAGAAAACGAAGCACTGGGCAAAGGAGGGATACATGAGCCCGCCTCTTCAACCGGCTATTCCACATCCATTACTAATAAATGGAATAAAACTTACATTTTGTTACAGTACGCAGAGCGTGTCATGTTTCCGTGTGAAGGGGGCTGACTGTTGATGAGAAGACATTCTTCCCAACCTCTCATTTGCCCGGTTTAACCATATAAGACCTCTATTTTCCCAGATACGGCCATAAATCACCGCAAAATATTTTTGCCTTAAGAAGCAGTTGACCTTCGGGTTGTTTGGGATGTGTTGTCTCTCTCTGATGAATCACTGCCTGCAGCTCCTTCAGGCATGGAGCTGAAACTGCCTAGAAAAAGCCTCTACCCCAAAAAGTGAGAAAACTTTGCCGAGACTGGGAGAAGTCAGGAGCGAAGCTGAGCAAACGCTGGGAGAGCCCTTGTGAGAAAACCTGCTTTTTGGAGAGCCCTCGGTCCTCGCCCCTCCCATTAACTGGCAGGAGCATTCCCTCACGACCGCCGTCCAAAGAGTCTTCAGGAAACGGATTTGGGGCGGAAACGTGCATTTTTTGCTGTTTTTCTGACAGCTGGGCTGTCTCTACGACTCCTCCGGCAGAGCAGGAGCAGCTCCCCCCAGGAGACGAAGGGGAACGGGACCCTGTGTGGTGTCCTTGAGGACGGCCGGTGGTCAGAGGCACCTCATAGGGCACCCACTTTGCGGTGCTACACAAAGCAGAACAAATAATTGTGGATGGGAGCTTGTGTGCTCTGAGGAAAAAAAAAATGGAGCAAATGAATGTTTGGCAGCAGCGTTGAGCCACAGGTGGGCGGCTGGGGGTAGCTGCTGTGGGCACAGCAGTAGTGGCAGGACAAGGGGGAATGGCTTTAAGCTAAAAGAGGGGAGATTTAGGTTAGATATGAGGAAAAAATCCTTCACTTAGAGGATGGTGAGGCCCTGGCGCAGGCTGCCTCAAGGAGCTGTGGGTGCCCCGTCCCTGGCAGTGCCCAAGGCCAGGCTGGATGGGGCTGGGGGCAGCCTGGGGACCCTGGGGAGGTGGAGGGTGGGTAAGAGGCTCCCCATGTCTGCCTCATCCATGGGGCCAAAGCTGGATCCAGCTGTGGGTGCACGGTGCCTGTTACCCCTGGGGGCTCAGCCCAGCGCTAAAAACACAACAAAAAGCAACGAGAGGCATCACCTCTCCGCATCCCCAGCTGGCTCAGTGCAGCTTCCCAAAACACCAGCCCCATCAGCTGTGTTTTAGGGCTCAGTGCGTTGTGCCTTGGGGCCATCCCATTTATTTGGGGCCAGCTGATCCTGCCATGCCCAGCAGAAGGGACATGACCACAAGCAACAGGCACTTCCAGCTGGTGGACGAGCCCCAGGCTGACCAACCAGTGCCACACCAGGCCCTTGAGAGCAATTCATCTCTTGGGAACCACCCCAAGGACCACCACCAGGGTGGGCAGTTGGCTGGGTTGACCTGGCGGCCCTAGAGGATTCGGCGGCCAGGTCTACCCGATGGGTGATGGCTAGTGGGCGTGGCTTACCAGTGGGCGTGGTTTGTAACTAGGGGGCGTGGTTTGTATCCAAGGGGCGTGCCCCGCCCCCGCCCCGCCCCGCCGGCAGGTGGCGCCCGGCGGACACACACAAGATGGCGGCGGCGGCGGGAGGAGGAGGCGGCGGCCCGCCCTGACAGCCCGTTACCCCGCCGCCATGTTGGTGAGGGGGGGCCTGCCCGGCCTGCGGCGCCTGTGGGGGCGCGGAGGGGGGAGAAGGGCCGGGAGCGGGGCCGGGGCCGCGGCCGCCGCCGCTTGGTGCTTCCCGGCGGGCCGGGCGCTGCTGAGCGTGCGGGGAGCCGAGGCCGCCATCTTCCTGCAGGGGCTGCTCACCAATGACGTCACGCGGCGGGGGCGGGGCCGGGGCCGGGGCCGGGGGAAGGCGGCGCGGCCCCCCCCCCGCGGGCGCTCTACGCGCATGCGCTCAACGTGCAGGGCCGCTGCCTCTACGACCTCATCCTCTACAGGTGAGACCAACCCGGGGGGGGGGGGGTGAATGGGCGAGACCATTGCCAGGAGGCGGGGGGGGGAGCCTCGGAGCCTGCGCTGTTGCCATGGAAACGGGGGCGCGCGGCCTGGTGTGTGGTGACATAATTCGAATAAAGTGATAATTCTAATAAATATGCTAATAAATATTTAATAATTCTAATAAAGGTTATTCTTCTAATCATTCTAATTATGTATCTTACTTTATAATTTGCATAATACTATAATTATTTTATCATTATTAAAAATAATATTTCTTTATTTTATCATCACAAAATGATCATTACCACAAGTATAATTATTTTATTTTATTTTACCATTATCAAACATGATATTTTATATTTTATCACCATAAAGTGATCATTGCCACAAAAAGATAATTATTTATTTTATCGTCATTATAAAACGATAATTTTAGTGTACTTTACCATCATAAAATTTTAGTTTTTATCGTTATTATAAAAAGACATTTTTTATTTTATCATTATCATAAAATTTTAGATTTTTTAAAATTTTATTTTCATTTTTATTATCATACAATGATAATTCCTGTCAGCGGCGGTCACGCACCCTCCCCTAAGAAACTTTGTACGTTATGTCTTTAAAATTTTAAAAAAAAAAAAGGTACCAAAAGCAGCTCCTCTGTATGATTTTCCTCACTGGCTGTCAGTTCTGTGAATTATCCCACAGCAAATGACAATAACCTGATTTTTTTAAAGCAGCCCTCCCAGCAGGTCCAGTGCCTGAGGAGCTGTCTGGATGGTGCCCAAGGGGTTCAGGGTCTCCACTCACTGCAATTAACGGGGTCATTAGCACAAGCAGGATGTCTGGCACTAATTACACTTTATTGCCACCTGACCCAGGTGTGAGAGGGGAAATGTGTAAGCCAGTGAATAAACATCCCATTTATACCGTCAGGTCACTCGCTCAGTAATGAAAGGCCTAAAAATGAAGGCCAAAAAATTGAACTGGTAGTCTGCTTCTTGAGCTGTTTATGGTCTGGAAAAGAACAAGAAAAATATCTGTGTCAAAAATATGCTCTAGGTAACCCAGCTTGAGCAGGGGAGTTGGACTGGGTGAGCTCTGGAGGTCCCTTCCAACCTCAGCCGTTCTGTGATTATTTTGTTACAGGGTGCTGAGTGCTGTCCTTGCCTGCAGCAGCATTCCCCAGATCTCTGGCTTCGGACCAGGCTCAAGATAATAATGCCTGTTTGCTTCCCTGACCTTGTAGGTGTTGCTTTTTTAGGCTTCACGAGAGTCCAGAAGAAGAGCCGCACATCCTGCTGGAGTGTGACAGCAGCGTGCTGGACGCCATACAGAAACATCTGAAACTGTACAAGATCCGGAGGAAAGTAAACATCGTCCCCTGCCTTGACCTTTCTTTGTGGGCCGTCATCCCTGGGGAGCAGGCTGGAGATATCTCTGGCTCCCTCGCACAATGTGCAGACCAGGCTCTGGTTTTAACTCCTGACCCCAGGACAGAAGTCATGGGGTGGAGACTGGTTACAAAGAAAGGAGCAAATCTGACAGAGGTCATCCCTGGGAGTCGTATCGGGAGCATTCAGGATTACCACAGGCACAGGTATAAGCAAGGTAAAGCCAAAACCTGCTTTGTACTCTGGATTTTGGATAAATACATTTCTTTATGACGAGGGTCTTATTATCAGAGACCGGTGGAATAAATTATAAAAGCCACAGGGGAATGCCTCAGTGTGTTTAACTTTTTAGTAAAGGCAGGAATTGTTTGCTAATTTAAGAATAAGACTGATCCAGTAGTTACAATTCCGGCCTGTGACAGAATTAGTATTTGAGTCCAGTTTCCCATTACAAAAATTGCGGGATTGTGGGTCAGCGAAAGATAAAGGGGATTACTCATTTTCTTAGAAGGGAATTTCTGTGGTTTGAGTCATTTTGATTATTTTGGAGTTAATGCGCAATCTACGTGTTTTTCTTGTTGCTAAGGAAGGACAAGGAAACACCCTGACATACTTTCCTAGAAATGTATGAGTGGATTTGCAGTTATTTTGGGGGCCAAGGAGCGTATGTTTGGCTTGAGAAGGAATTCGGTCCTGCACGCCTCCGTGCCTGTGCTGAGCTCCCATTGATTTCCCTATGTCCACATAGACAGTGGAATAAAATAATTAGCAGACAGAAAGATGTGGGTCCTCTGCTAATAAACAATGATCACAACCTGAGTGTCTGGTGCAGAAAAGCAAACTGTGAATGGGTCACAGTGGGCTGGACCGCCGTGGTGTGCTGCCTCCCAGAAATACCAGCATTAGTCTTGCTTGCTACTACAAAAAGCCAGGCCCAGCACTGCTTCAAAAGAAAATAATAAAGATCTGTCATTGGTCACAAAAGAAGCAGTCACAGCTACCCATACAGCGTTTGACAGTTGGCTGGATTACTTTTGCTAGCTTTGAAGAAAATAACTCATTGATGGTCTACCTGTGGGAGAAGAGAATTTTGCCATAAGCAGTAAATGTATGTTGATGCCTTCTTATGGGAGTCTGTATTGCTCTGGTTGCTTCGAATTTCCACCACTATCCGTATGAAGTGCTTAAAGCTTCGCAAGATGAGGATTTAGTGCAGTTTTTCCAGTTATCTTTTAGAATAATCTTTGCTAATCCCGATATTTACAGCTAGTGGTTTCATTAAGGCCCAGACCAGATTACTGGCAAGCTCATTACTTCACATTGCTCTTTCTCACCTCTCATTTTGTAACGCAGAGGAAACATACTCCAGAAATCTAAAATACTGAAGATCTTGCTGTATTACATGTTGGTTTTACTCCTTTCCTAGGAATTCCTGAAGGTGTGAAGGATCTCCCTCCTGGAGTAGCCCTCCCGCTGGAATCCAACCTGGCCTTCATGAACGGCGTCAGCTTTACCAAAGGCTGCTACGTGGGACAGGAGTTAACAGCCAGGACCCACCACATGGGTGTCATTCGCAAACGTCTGGTGCCGGTGCAGTTCTCAGTTCCTCTTCCCCAGGAGAGCATTCCCGAGGGTGCCGAGATCTTGACTGAATCGGGAAAGTCAGCTGGCAAGTTCCGGGCTGGAGGAGAT